GAGACCCAGGCCGCGTATTCGGAGAATCGGCATGTTGCGGTTGGCGATGAGATAGATCATACCCAGCACCACGGCGGTGGTCCACACGCCGGCCCAGCATGCCCACCAGATGCTGACCGGGGTGTATGCGGCCTGCGGCTTAGACTCTGGGGTGATTCCGAGTTCTGACCCCATGATGACGGTGTTTCGCTGAAAGAATGGCTAAAGGAGCGTGGTGTAGTTGGGTAGCGCTTGTCAGCGATCGCCAGTCAAGGTTGACAGGTTCGTGAGGATATCGAAGCCATGAAGCAACGAATAAGTCAATGCGCCTGCAAGGCAGCAGTTGGGCTCGTGGGCAACTTAATGGGTTTTGCAGAATCTTAGATGGGAGATATCACTTGCAGATCGGTTCCAGGGCGTGCATCCATAGTGACTCTATAGGGCCATCTCATTGGAGGTGCCCTAGCCTAAACTGGAAGTCACGGCGACCCACTATTGGGAAGATTTCTTGGAATTGAAGGGCGACCCCATCCGAACTAACGATCGGTGATTTGGAATTCATGGCCCACATCCCACGCTAAAATCCTCTTGTCCATTTTATCACGTTCTATCACCTAAACAAAGCTCAAAAACGAGCTTCTGCAGTGGAGACGTAGGATGAGAGGGGTTCTCGCAGGCTGGTAATAAGATCATCAGATAACCAATTTGGCCATAAAGGCGAATATGGCTGGCACCATCTGGTGTTTCTGAACCATGTCGGGCAGGATTTGCGACGGGATCAATCGGCGATACCGGTGACCGACGGTGGACCCGACTAAAAACGCTAATCTGCGGTCTGGGTCGCAACATCAGACCGATTTCCACGTGAACTAAACCGATCTAGCACGCTTGCACGATGTCCTACGGCACGAATCATACAGTGGATAATGCTTTACACCTGCCTAGGAGGGCAGGAGTACACTGTACATCCTACTAGCCGAGCTGGTGCAATCTGCCGCCTGGGCCAATATGAACCCTGCTTAAGGTTTTCAACTTAGTCAGTTTGATGAATCTTTGTAGCATCGCAATTTGCGACCTTTTTTTTATTTTTTTGTTCGCTAATGCATCTGCTCTTGGGTCGTCTCAATTCCTAGCCTTTTGCTTTTAGATCTTTGGTCTCTTGGTGGAGGATATCCTCACTAATCTCGGCTACACTCCAACTCATTCGATTTTTACGTTTCGCGCTCTCACAACGCGTACTTTGGCAGTTGTATTCTCGGCAATGCCGAACTCTTGATCTCTTAGCTTCGGTACAAGAATTATAATAGATTAATCTACACCACTAAAAACCAAGCCGATCGGGAGAAGCAGAAGGGGTAAAATAGGCGCATCCTCCGTGGTGGTGTATGGAACGAACACGGGGCGCCCAGCAGCACGTGGATGTTATCCTGTAAGGTACGGACCGTGAAAGAGGAAATAGAGTCCTTCCGTACATCTCAGTACACAGAAACGATGCATGAACGCACATTCCTCTCGCCTCTTGGCATTAGGGCTAGAAGTCTTGCGCCAGAGTAAACAGTGGCTAGCTGAGCGGTGTGATGAGTGATGAAGTGGGTACGTGAGACGGCTCAAGTCGGTGGAGCTAATAGCCGGCAAATAAAAAGAGGAGCTTTGATTTTAGCTATTACTCCCTGTCTCACCCCGAGGTTGGAGGTTCTTGAATCTTGAAAGTTGAGGGAGTTGCTGATCTTTACGGGATATAGTATATGTCACGTGCGACGGCCTGGCTACAGTCGACAGTCGGAAATTCGGCATTAATTCTCGAAAGTTGAGTCTACGGCCTTTGTAACTTCTGCTTGGATCTGTTTGAAAGCTTTGGTTCTGTCTTGGCTGGTTGGTACAACAAAAACAAGAAGTAGGTCTTGCTAGTGCTGTGGTAGAACTTGAAACGATCGTGAGTGGGTTTGCGGATCATTAATTGACAAAAACTCTGCTAGTCCCAACTGCTTATGCTTCTTGACATGATTTAGGAATAGACAACGAGACACTTCTTGGTAGGGTTATAATATTTAAACAATATCATGTTCGATAGCCTCATATCACTACCGCAGTAGGAAGCGGGGCAGAAGCCACAGTGGCCCTTTTCGTCCCACCAACGTTCTTTTCACAGCACGGCATGACGACATCTGGTGGAGTGGAAGGATCAGCAAGCTCAACTAGGGAGAGCATCCCTCAGGGGCCAAAAAATGGTCCCTATCTACAAGTTACAAGCAGGTACCCGTCGTTCTCTACTCCGGAGTAATTTCTAATGGAAAACTACAGTTGATTCGATGGAGTAACTGAGCGAGCCGGACTTCAGCTCCAGAAGTTTTCACCGGGCTACAACAGCAGATCCTGGACTTTAAGTGCATCGTTCACGTACGCGAAAGCTTTCCGACAATCATTGCCCTTGTTCTGGGTTCTTTCACTTTCGGCATCCGATCACCTCGTTTTCACTTTCCTTCTAGGAGTCGATTAGAGTTGTGGAAGGAGATTTTAGCTTCAATATTTGAGTCTGGGCCCAGCACCTAGCTGCTGAATCCATACAAAAGAGGGACCTAAACTTTCCAAGGATGCACTAGCTGCGAGACATCCCGTCGGATACAGACCGAGGATGCACCGAGCCATGTGGCGAGGGGATATATGGGGTGAGCCGGCGGTGGTCGAGCCAGAAAGAGGAAGACACAATTACAGGGTTCCATGTCACGGGGACGATGCGAGCCCTGATCTCTGGCAGAGCGCGGGGAATGTTACTGGGGTTGTTCATGATAACTAAAGTGAGATCTTATGGTTGAGAGGGAATAGCACCCCTGTCGCACTGAATGCAAGGCTTAGGGGTGATAGCAACAACCATCTGTTATGTAGAGAAATTAGTGGTTATTCCCCCCTGCATCACAGCCCATTCTTTTCTATGGTTCAAGCTGAGCTATCACTGTAGGGATATTATTTCCAATTTATGGCACACGTTGACAGAGGAAACGCAGCCATTGGTTGATATCCAAACTCGTTCTGGTCTTGTGCCGTCTGGGTGCCGTCAGTGTTATATCTTTTATATACTGACGCAATGGATGCTCATTGATTGACAAGTTGTTGCAACGACCCAGGCAACCAACAAAGTGAGTAGTCAATATTATCCCTATCAAACCGTTAGAACCGAATTTTTGGTTGTCTGCTCTCCTGCCACATAACTGGTGAGACATGTCTAACTCCGATATAATAAGTCGCAAGCCCAATACATAAAAAAAAAAATGAATGAAATGAAGTTAAATCACTATGTAAATCCGCCCACCATATCAGCTATCCCATGTAGGTAAACCATGCTGTCTGCGCTCGTGGCTCCTCCCCTATCCCTCCATATTTATATCCATGTTCTTTTATGCGGCGAGGCAACGTTGATGAGACATATTCGGCTCAAGCATGTCTTCCTGATCAAGATGAGTGTCAAGAAGAAGAGCTACAGAAGAGCATTCAACTGGAAGGACAACATGAAATATCATGTTCGACAGACTCACCATAGGGGCAGTCTGGAAGATGAAGGTTCTCCCGTTCTCACTTCCTCCTTTTCAGACCTCTGATTCAGTGATTGACCATATTTGGGGTCTTTGTTCTACCTTTGATGTCCATATTCTGTCTTATTGGGTTTTACTTTGCTGCTACCGCGTTGGACTTCATTCTTTTGGCGTCAAGCCCGGGCTTCGAATTAATTTCTTCTTGAATCCGGTAATATCCACAGACATTTGTTTCTCACATAAGATGCTGGGGCGATATCCAGGGTTCTCATCAGTAGTTGTAGACTACAACAAGTGGCTATCTACATGTATAGCGAGAATCCCTACGGCAGTATCGTTTAGTTAGGAATGGTGGACCATTCTGGATGATGGGAGACGATCCAGCCATTATCCATTTTGCAGCGCCTCCGGCTCACTGCACATTAGTTTTCTTGTTCCTTTTTATGAAAAGAGAAAAAAATCCTCTTACCTTAAAAGCCCTTTACTGAGCTTTGAGATGCCCTCGTCTACCTATCCATGATAATGGTCTAATAATCTAGTCGAGCGATATCAAGCAAACACTCCACTCACTCGCACATGATATATATATCCGTAAAGAAACGGCAAAGAGAAAACATCTACCTGAAAGAGCGACTACAGACAAATAAAATTACTCTGCCGCTAATTTAATACAATACTTTACATCAATAATTGCTCTGCTATTCCAGGCTGGGAATTAGCTTTGAGTATGTGTATGTACTCTGCCTGCTCTACCCCGACGGTGACCGATGTATTTTATTAAAATTAAGTTTCTATTCTTAAATTTAGATCGATTTGAAACAACAAGTGGTTGTGTAGTGTAATGGTTAGCACCCAGGATTCTGATTCCTGTAATCCCGGTTCGATCCCGGGCACGACCTAATCTTTTTGCGATTCTTTTTTATCACCGCTGTGGACCCACTAATACAAAAAGATCTCCATTTGTGCCCCAATAACTTTGTTATTTCTCCCAGAGACCAATGCAACACTATTCCATGCACTTTTATTGAGTAAACAAAGCATGTAGTTGCACGGCCCGCTACTTCATTTCCGAGGAACCACGGCGTTCCAATCCAAAACCAGACTTTTATAGACTTATCACCAATTTTCTTTTCGTTAGATTGAGTGCCACCAAAAGAAAAGTAAAGTCAATACTTTCACATCATACGTTTTTAGAAGGACCATTCTACTTTATCTCTAAAAGATAGCAATCAAAACCTGAATAAAGTTCTTCGTATATTTACCTTTTGCTACTCAACTGTCGTCAGTGTTGAACTCTTCAGCGACACGGAACAATGGAAGACAATCTTATTGACGATCATTACCCTGCAAAACAGTCTAATTCCAAGCAGGAGGAAAGCAATTGTACCTCTCCTATTGTTAGCTGAAAGCCAAGCTACAACCCTGTGTTAAGTTACTCTACAACAAAGTAGAAGCCAATCCATTGAAATCAGGTGTATGTTACACATGAATACGTCAAAGCGAGGATCGAGTGCGGCGAGTCAAATAGAAATAGTAAGTGCCCTGGGTGCCAAACAGCTTGGGTGTATCCATGGCACCCGCAACCATATCGTCGGACACATAACGAAAGTGGTCAAAAATTGGCTTTTCGTCATAGATCATGGTGGTCGATGTTACTCCTCGATAGACCATCTCCCTTAGCTATCCAGAGATAACGTGATGTCAGCATGGTTTTGAGCGATCCCAGTTAAAAACATGCGTACCGAGCAATGGCCCCAGTCTTTCTTCCACACCCGATTGCCTTCTGCATCATAAATCATGATCGGATCACCGTCATCCACTGATCGGAACTCTTTTCCAGCCCATTTCATTTCCTTCAGAAGCTTATGTCCAATATGTCCTGTATCGATATCCCCGCCGTCCCACTTGCCTATCAGAAAGGACGGAGCGACCGGCTTCAGCTGGTTGTACACTTTCTCAACCGTTGATTCTGGCACATGGCTGGTGGCCTTGGTGAGCTCAATGAACTGGTCCCCAGGTCTTCCATAGATCGTGAGTTCATCCATTTCAGCTGACTGTTACGGAAGCAAGCATGGACAAGACTTACCCTGACATATTGCCTTAGCGTGTTTGCCGCTTCTCTCCAATTATCCTGCTGAGTGCGTTATCAATAGAACACAAGATCCTTTGATTTGCAAGATAACACCGATCAATAGCATCATATATACTTCTAATTATGCGGGGGTTTCCCCATAGGTATCGGGGGATTGAGAAGCCTAGGTCCGCGGGGAGATCGACCCGCGGAGTTTTAGCAAACCGCCCGTGGGAGAAACAACGTACTCCGTGTATCTGATATGACAACATCAGATATAATTTTGTGCATACGGTATATGTCTCGTCGGTCGAGATTCGAAGTATACTCTAGATGATTGAACGAAGCCGTGGGCCTATTCAGCAACCATGTACTATCGAAGATAAGTTGGCGTCATTCAGTTCTTGAATCAAGTATATCGGCGGTAGATAACTTTTACCACTGTGCGCCGCACATGCCACTGTATTAGTGTCCTATGCTGCGCTGGTTGGAGTACCCGTCAGCTTTCCCTGATCATACCCACATGAAGGTAAGGAACAAGCCCTTCTCGAGATCACTTGATGATTTTTCAACATATTCTCTTCCGCCAAGCACTTCAATTTGATATGGATTGGAACGCATACTAAACGCTTTTACATAACGCTTCATGTCACACTGAAAAGAAACCCCAAGGGAAGAATGGCAGGATATCAAGCTGGAGTCCATTGTCAATGATCGAGGGCTAGATTTGCAGTGGACACCACTCGAAATGATGCGCTCGTCCTTGATCAGCTCTTTCAGCAAGACGAGGTTGTACGCCACCTAGAAAGAGATAAATACCGTGAAAAGTGCTATGCCTTGAGGTGTAGTGGTCCTGGCTAGAATTGGCAAGGGGAAATATTCTATTACCTTGTCAGCTCAGCAACAGCAAGCTACGATATTTGTCGAAAAACGGGACGCAGCAGGCGCACAATTTGAATTACTGAACCGAGCAGTGAGATCTTCCAATTGGCATATCTTATTGTGGCCTTGGTTAAAAATAAGAATTCCGACGGTGAATACATTGATCAGATTCGCCACTGATTGCAACATGTCCCTCATGAACTGAGTAATATTTATCCAGACACTGCAGCATACATTCAGGCGAGATTATCCGTAGCCAGCCGTTTCTCGTTTGTTAATATAACATGTTGGACAACCTCTCTCTGTGACAGATGCAAATTTTTTTACCTGCCATAAACCAAGCGGCTTTGTTCAAACTGACGACCATACGCAGTACCTAGAACGAACAAACGGTTTAATTATTGCTATCCATTCCTAAAATATTCCACCAATTTACTTAACCTGCTGTTGTAACAGTTATAAAATGTCCTGCCATTAATGTAACAAAGATACAATAATGTAAGCAAAACATCAACCCAGGGGTAAGGTGGCCGAGTGGTTAAGGCGTTGGATTTGAGTCCCAATGACGCAAGTCGCGCGACCTCGCCCTTACCATTTTGTTTTTAAACCTTATTTTAACCCTAATGTAGACCCTAATGCAAACTCTGATCTTGATTTACCCTAATGTGAATTCCTGCAAGTAGACCGAGCTAATAACCCAACGATAGGCCAAGGTACCTCAAAGGCACCCTAAAGGCACCGAACACATAGCACCACCGACTTAAGAACCGAGAGAGCTGCTTTACCTAGTTAGGCCCTACATTGGGGTTGAACCACCCTTCGTCGCTTCTACCGAGCTGATTTGCCGAGTCACCCAGATCGTATCCCTAAGCTTGGTAGGGATCGCCGTCTGGGGACCCTTCGTAAACTCCTGACTCTAACAATATATTCCAACTCTGACGATATCCAGCCCGTCCTTCGGGGCCATCGGCCTTAGGCTCCAGACACCTAGGGCCTTTGGCTACCCTTATCTGTCCCGGGGTTTCGCCCCAGACCTCCTGGCACAAACCTCGGGTGAAACGATCCGTGGCGCTAACAACCCAACGATAGGCTGTGAAGCCTCAGAGAGACCCCAGAAGATGAGACAGATTTCGGTGGGCAATTGGATTTCCCGTACAAATTCTTACTCAACCCCGAATATATAAAAATATTACTTGTAAGTCTGGTCGCCCACACAACTTTATATACAGCAGCATGCTCAAAATTTTAATCTGATATTATCCTTATCTATTTAGGTCAAAGGTATATAATTAGTAGAGACTGAACTTATTCCCCTTTCCTAAAACAGTAATTATTATACACTAAGCGAGGGCAGTGAAGCCTGCGGCTAATCAGAAGACTACTTCACAAGTTGAGAAATCTCAGAAGTTGAGATAAATCGCCTCGGCCGCTTTCGTCTCAACTTCTGAGGTTTCACAGTACTGTCAGGAAAGGAAGTAGGGAAGGGGGGAGTAGTATTATCAAACAGCTCAATTAGTTAGGACTTAACCAAGATTATCAATCTACTAGTTCGCACCGCACCGATCAGTTCTGGTGGGATAGTACCTGGCCAGCTGAATCAAAACTCTAATTTCCGATAGTTGACTCCACTTTCCGGCAGACTGGTATGTCTACAGAGTATGGAGTAAGATATAGGCCACAGTGGCTTGAGATTCAATCGGCACATATTATCAGCTAAAAGGAATGGCGTCAATGGCAGTGTTACCCATCACACCCAAGACTTATGATCCAAAGTGGATCCCAGCGCGCCACAAAGCACAGATCGGCAATGGGCACGAACACCCCTTGCATGTCTTAAGAGATTTAGCACACTGAAATCTCAGCTGGAGATCTGTCTCACTTGTTTGCCTATTTTTTCTTTTTTCTTTTTTTCCATTTTAGGTCTAGATCATAGATTTCAGCTCAGCCCAGCTGTAGACAACTCATAAAAGGCTCTGGTCGCGTAACAGTGTGCAAAAGAACAAGTTCGTGTTCGACTATAAGGCGGACAAATTTCTCTATTCGAGTTTGTGACATAGACTGGTTCACTTTCACGTTGCACATATCCTGTGAATGCTGTCAATATGTGGATTAGCTTGACAGTAGAGCCAATGCTCTCGAGGCTGCCAGTGCTGCCTTTTCGGCAGCTCGCTCTATTGGGTAAGTGTCGAGAAAGAGAGTGACCATGTTCAATAACTAATCAGCTTCACTAGCGATATGCCACTTCGCTGAGGCGGGTATGAAATGCTACATTTAATCTGTCGCTGGATACATGACCAACGACGCGGCGAGCTCAACTGACCTTTTATCAACAGTCGTACTCTCCTCCATTGTCCCGTATATGGTATAACAGCCCTGCTTATATGTCTCTGATCAACTTCTCCACCCTTTTTAAAGCCTATGTTGATAACTTCTTGCGCAGCCCGACATGCTCGAACATGCTGGTGTACCAAAGGACGATGTGCCCAAATGGGTTGGCTTCAGCACTACGGTGACCGCTACCTGTGCGGGCGTAATGGGTATGGTATGGGGTATGGCCTCTGATTCCATTGGTCGGAAACGTGTTATCTTGCTTGAACTCAACCTCATGCTGGTTTTCATCCTACTGTTTGGCTTCTCACAACACCTCGCCTTACTGGTACTCTTCCGGGCTTTGCTTGGTCTCGTCAGTGGTAGCATCGGTATTATGCGCACCATGATCGCAGAGATGGTCCCTGAGAAGCTACTCCAGCCGTACGCATTCAGCATCCTACCTACCGTGGAGACAATTGGGTCTGGGTTTGGTCCCGCCCTAGGAGGCTTGTTGGCGCACCCCGCGGAGCATTATTCTGGCATCTTCGGCAATGTTGCACTCTTGAAAATGTTTCCCTTTGCTTTGTCTAGTATAGCTTCTAGCTGTATTGTAGCCGTCGCTATTACGATGGCATCTGCTTCTCTTCATGTGCGAGTTCCCTTTCCCCCGAGAAACTCAGATGGCTCTAACAGATTCCATAGGAAACGAAACCGGGACTGAAGGATTCCCCTGATTCTGAATTGCTGATCACGAAGGTCCTGAGGAAAGTGTGGGCATTGCGTAACAGACAGGCCCCTGTCCAACCAGTTGGTGTTGATGAGACAACAGCTCTACTTGGTGACACAATAGAGGAAGTAGATGAAGAGTTGCAGCATATAGAAGAGGCCTTAGAGCGCAGAGCAGCTGACCTCAAGCGCCGTTGGTTGAGCATTGTCTCTCCACAGCCTATTCTCCTATTGCTGATATCCGGTGCGATGAGCATGCACACCGTGGCTTTCGACTCATTGTTCCCGGTACTACTGGACTATCCTGTACAACATCTAAAGGGAAACCCAGACGTGCACCTTCCATTTAAATTCAGCAGTGGACTCGGGTTAGGTAAGCTAAGCACCTTTGAAACTAGGTATCTCTTACCATTCTGACCAATGATGCTTTGATCTCGTGTAGATACCAGTGAGATGGGTCTTTTCTATTCAATCGTCGGCGTATCCAGCATGATAGTCCAGCTCGTGATATTCCCATGGGCGGCCAGGAAGTACGGGATCCTTCAATGTCTGAGGCTGGCTTCCACGGTTTTTCCCATGCTTTACCTGGTGGTTCCATTTGTGCCTCTTCTCCCACAGCCCCTGGCCAGTGTGGCAGTGTGTGCACTGCTGATTTTCAAGATGGCTGGGTCCGCCTTTGTTTTCCCCTGCTGCACGATTCTGATCAGCGAGGTAGCGGGAACCATTGGCATGTTAGCAACTGTGAATGGAATAGGTACCAGCATTAACGCCTTTGGACAAGGTCTTGGACCGGGAGTCCTGGGGCCTGTATTCTCGTTTGGTGTGAAACGGGGCTACATGATTCTTCCTTGGTGGTTGCTGGCGGGGTTCGCGTTTCTGAGTTCGATTCCAGTGGCTTGGGTTACAGAGATGGATATCTCGCCACCAGAGGTGATCTTTCCGCCCAATGAAGAAGAGCAGCAAGCTGGTGACACTGAGAATGGCGAAGCCCGCGGCCGACAGCTTGGTCGGCCCGAATTAGTTAGCTTTCCGGTTTGAATCATCGCAGTTGGCCATACAAATATTTCACGGCCGTTTACATGCTTCGTGGGCTCATTTCATATAGACCTGGGAATTAAGAAGAGCACTAGTTCTACATTTATTGCAACAAAAGCGAGCAATTTACAAGAACTTTATAAGAGCACACATATTTGATTATTGTTTTAACAATTACGCTCCACCTATGGTTCCCTCCAGAATTATTAACTAAACAACAAAGCCACTTCCAAGCTCACCTCCTAAGCTCCACTAGGCCAGCGAGACCGAAACAGCACACTGATCTATGCCTGCCAAAACATATCAAGCTTACTGGCCTCAGCAGCCTCATCGTCAAAGTTTTTGCAGCAAGAGTAACAATGCTTGTATGTCATGTTAACAAACGTACTAGAGACCGGCATTGGTTGAGGATACTACTCACGCCTATTTTCTTAGCATCCTGTAGCCTGGAGTTAGCACCATTTCATGAAATTGATAAGATGCCGTTGTTCTTACCCATCCATCCGGACAATGTGGCTTCTCTGGAAAGCAGACCCTCCAGCAAACATCGTGGCTTTGGACCTCTACAAGACGCGGTACCGCGGCATTGGCACCGGTCAGGAGAGCGGTGGTTGCGGCAAGGATGGTGGAGAACTTCATTTTGGGGGGTTGATTTGATGTGATTTGGGTAATAAAAGGATTTGATTTGCTGTTCTAGTTGACGCGATTGATCTGAAGAATGGTGCAATTTCGAGGGATAATGGCGCTCTATTTATCTGTAACCCAGGTGATTCTAGACCTTCGTTAGGTCCGAGTTGGTCGCTTTGTACATACATATCGACATCGTGACGTTCATGGTAGATGATAGACGGACGGTTTGGGTAACACCCTTATGCCTCTGACATATACTATGATTCGATTGCCCCGTGAGTGACTGGAAGACATGGTTCATTTGATGGTAGTACTTTAGTGACTCCACAACATGTGCGAGTAATGTATTCCTTTAAGGTTATCTTTCAATGTAACCTAACTCAATCCACTCCCCCTAGTCTGACCAGTGAGCAACAACATGCTTGTGGTTGAGATTTCCGACCGTAAGAAGGTTTCAATTGTCTAGATCATGATGTTTTAATAGGTTTGCGGTGTGCTGTCACCAACGTCTGTTGACTGGTTGGCATAAAGTTAATAAATAGACTGGCCGAAAACGTCGGTGACAGTATCAGGTTTCATGACGTCAACCACATCTTGCCATATATCTTTTGTTTCCAGTTGTTGTGAAGTGTCTGGGCAAGCTAGACTGTGAATCTAGCTTTATAAACTTCTTTAGTATCTAAGCGTACACTCAACTTCTAGAATAGAATCCACATAGTCAGGTTCTGAGCATTACAGATCAACCACTGGATGGGCCGTGCTCAAGATGGGTGGAAACTACAAGGTGACTTTTCGGATCTAGCGATAGCATGACGTACTGCTATTCGTACCGAGAGAAATACAATCTAGACCTATACCATGCTTCACACTTTATACCGGTATGACACCGGACGATCGGGAGTAGTTCTCCGTGCCAAGGTAGTGGTTCTGGCTGTATGCCAAGAGCGGGTGCTAAACACGGCCCGTATATCCCGCCCGGTGTTCCGTACGGTCCGATGTGCCCTAACCACCATGACTAATTACAACCAAGAGAATAGATAGTAACACTGATATGTACCCTACGGATCCAACAAGGACTGTAACAGCTTGCCATGTGTGTCGGAAATATGGTGAGCTGTTGGCCATGGGTAAAACAATGCCCCTTCCCTGGCAATGCAAACATAGCAAACAGTCGGCTTCTATGGCCCAACATCGAGCCTATGACTGTAATACCCCTTTTTCATTTTGAGACGTTGATATATATATCGACCTGGAGATGGATGTTGAGCGCTGGCTTGAGCAACTGCCTGCTACCGGGCCTATTCTGTCCTCAGGCAATACATCATTGGTCGATATGGCCGCTTAAGCAGACACAAGGGAGACAACAATATCTACGTCCGCCCCGCGCCGATCCTGTCCCACCAAACGACAGCGCACTGATTATTACAACTCTGAGCGGAGGATGTCGCTCTCTCCATCGCTGGTATCACTTTCAGAGTGTACTGAACCACGTTCAAGGATGTCCATTGCGTCGCGCCAGGGTAGCACAACCCGAGATGTCTTTAACCAACTCCGACTTGCAAAGCCTGCTATTATATGTGAACCCCAAGCAACTGGCCCTGTACCGGGCACTGTATCATCTCTACGAAAACGCCTCGCAGATCGGTTTGCGCAGGGCATAATTCCTAAAGGCCTAGAGGTGCTGTCACCAGATTCCTTATGTATAGCTTGATCGACTGATTGAATCGTAGTCCCGGATCCGTGAATCCGATCCTGACGGTGCGGAAGAAATACCGGAGTCCGCATATTTTGACTCTGGACATATGTCAGATGCGGCCCTTGACGTATTGTGGAATGAGCTCGAAGAAATACGATTAGAAGCAAGACATTGTGATATATACGGCAAAGATGAGAATGCTTGGTGATTAGACGTCGTGCAGCCGATTCTTGGCAAACCCACACAAGGGTCCTCTAAACTACAACTGACAAGTGTGTATGTATACCATTTCTCCATTGGAGGTAACTGCTTACCCGATTACAGACAATCCCAACAAATCGATGGAGATCTTCTACCTATGGTAAGGAACAATCTTACGCGGATCAACAAAAAGGCAGACTATGCTTTGGCGTTCTCCTGTCGGGACCCGGAAGTCTCTAGTCTCTATGAGAGAGTCAGTCTAGGCGGTCACGGTTACGCGATTAGCCAGACCACGGATGCTTTTAACAAGCGGACTATACTGTTCTCTGGTGTAGAAGTGAAGCCTGACGACGGCGGGGAAAAAAAGGAAGCGCTTGCCCAGCTTGCCATCTGGCTCAGTGGGAATTTAGAGAAAATGCGGCGATTAGGCGAGTTAGCCAAAGGGCCGTTAGATCAGGCTGATTGGTTGCTGCCGACTATTGGGTATACGGTTGTCGGTCACGACTGGTATGTCTATATTGCATATCGACTAGGAAATGAAGTAGTATGTCACCCTTCCCCCTCTTTATTTGCCAATCCGAATTCCCCTTTCCGCCTTCTCATCTTTCTTTTCTCTACTGCATAAACTAGGATGTAAGCTAAAAAGCACCTCACAGCATGTCGTTGGCCCGATCAGCTCCGTCCGTGCCGATACACGATCGACATATGGCATCTTGAAGCTACGTGACTTGGACTCTCGGGTGAGGCAATACGCTCTAGATGGATATTGGCTCTGGGTACGTGACGAGATTTTACAGCCACTAGCAATGCAAAGACTCTCCGACGATTAGGGCATGGAAAAGCAGCAGTATACAGCTGTGTTGAATAATTAAGAAATAGTAATAAAGATACCCAAATACCCCGAGCAGCTGTATCTCACTGGTTGAAAATTCCACCCAAAGAAACCGGTACATGGCGAGTATATAAAACAGATGACCACATTCGAATATGCTTGCAACGCTGCCATAAAATAATCAAGACTCAGGAAGGCTGCAGAAGATTGGATCTCTTGAGAATCGCGTCGAGCATGTTTTCCATGGGGCTACTTTTGGACCTGCCAGCCATGATAGAGCCTTCCCACGAGATCGCTGTCAATAGTACGATCGGCTTGCATCAACTGGTAATTAACTAAAGTCCGTGTCTGCTTGAATATCCCAATAAAGTATAGCGCGCACACGACCTCTGACTGATTTATCCGCGCCTGCAACTAGTGTGATTGGAGGTTGGAGAGTCGACGGGCGGGGAAGACCTCGCCTAGAATTTCTAGAGATAGGATGAGACTGTCAAAATGCCGACGTTTCCGCCAGGAGCACTAGTGGCTTGAGCAGGAACTAAGTTGACGGTTGATTGGAAGGCAGTCGCGTTGCCATGACCAGGTGGAAGTTAGGGTTGTATCGTCGGGAGATTGGGATTGTCGTGATGGCTGGGGCCCGCGGTGGAGAAAAATGCTTGAGGCGCCAATGATGGACCCTGGCCCCCACCCTAAATCCTCCATCGCTTTGGCGAAGGATCATCGTTGAAGAATTTGTGGAAAAAGTCGAACTGGCAATATGTTTCCTTGCTGCGGTAAGCTGACTGAAGTGTTCGGGTCGTCGGGCGCTGAGAAGGAAAGTCGTTCTATCCACCCACCACCTCTTTGTGGTTCGATCCTGAGACATCTTGGATGGAGTTACCTTATGGAAGAGTTGAGGTTTCTCCATAATATATTAAGTTAATTGTGCCCAATCTACGATCATAACCTGCACCTGCAGAGACCGTCATGCGATGAATAGAAAAACAAGGGCAGCTTAGTAGTGGTTGGCTGGCAATTCATGAACTGGTTGGTCCATCCCGCTTTCTAGCTCATGTTGTATTTTCTGGGCTTCCAGTTCGGCCGGGGGCTTGGGTGGATTCTGAGTGCCGGCCATGGGAACAGCCATTTCCCCAGCTGGCGGCTGCTGAGATTGTTTTCGGCCACGCAGGAAGAAGTACCAAAGAAGGGCAACGATCAATGCGACTCCGGCAACGCCACCAACGACGCCTCCTGCAATGGCCCCAGCATGGTTACTCGAGGAAGAGCTGTTCGATGAGTCGGAGGCTGAGGTCGTTGTTGCGGCGGGTAGAGAACTTGTGGATGTGGATTCGGTAGAAGCGCTGCTGGTAGCAGAGGCGCTACTGGTAGCGGATGCAGTGGAAGAGGTTGAGGAGAAACCTAGATATTGAAGATTTTCTATTAGAATCAAAACTGAAATCGCATTGCCGAATGTCCCCACTGACTCTGAGTCTCTGTATTCAAGATTGTTTCCCCGCGCTCTGTGGGCGCCCCATCGGAGCAGCCAACAGCATCTTGGGGACTATCTGTCCAGAACCCTGTTTGCTCTGGCAAACAGCAGAAGAATCCAGTGTGATTGAACATTATCCAGGTATCATTTGCGCAGTGCGGAGTCGCTTTAAGTGGTGCAGTACAGTCGGATTCGGTTGGACAGCAAACATTGTTCAAGATTGATTGTGAAGCCCCTGGGCAAACCGAATCGCCCGGGCAGCAGGCATAGAACCCCCCCCATGTGTGACCACAGCTGGTTTCACTGGAAAGGCAGGTGCCATTTCTGCGAAGAGGAAACCCGTACGGTGGATCGTAGGAATTCATATCAAAAGATCTCAAGAATTGACGTATATCCACACAAAGATATGGAAGGGTCGAAAGAGGACAGAGATGGTGACAGCACGTAATAAAAGGGGCGAGAGGTCTGTCAAACACTTTGAACGAATGGAAAGAAGCCTCAACTCTATGATGGAGCTAATGTCTTAGCTTCGACGCGGGCCACAAAAACTGGGGATCGAGCCCACTTGACTCGCTCAGGCGGCAGTACGTCGGGTAAATCATGGACATACTTGTAGTAGTTATATACTGTCTGGGGGTATTGTAATGGGTATTTGTTTATTGTAGTTTCATGATATATATCAAGAGGGCGATATAACAAGAACAGATCTCTTGAAGTCCGGTTCCTTCGGCGGATTATCTGAAAATCACTGTGCAAGGTGGTGGGTGGTGAATATTTCTAGTGGCTGTGACCCCGAGGCACCGTGACCTACTACTAGTCACTCGCGTATTCAATTCACCATACAAACTTGTATAACCGGTCAAATATCTCCATTATTCCTTCCCAACCAGCGGCATTATGTCACCAAGCCTTTCATCCACACAAAGTCCTTTCATTTCCTTCCTCATTCCTTTCTCATCCCAGCTTTCTATTAACCACCCCGCCACCCCACGGATGTCATAATTCCATCGTAGTAAACTTGCTGCTTCTCCTTTCCTGAATAAACAATCTAAATGTTCCCCAAGGCCCAACGTGTACAGAAGATAGCCTCTCTCACAGGGTTGCCTGCCTTGGCAGCAGGGGAATGGAGCTTGTTACAGCTACACTTCAATTTGAACCATCGAATGCCAACGAGCACGGATGAAAACGCTTCCGGTGGCTCGGGTGAAAGTACTACTGGCTTGCGAGGGTTCGCACAACCGGTGTTCAATTCATATTGGACTAATAAGACGGAGACCCGGCCGATGAAGCTTGGTTTTGAGGAACAAGAGATAGCAACTCCCATTCGTAGACTTCGAGTGTACTAGTTAACTAGTACGCTGATGTGTTAATAAGACACATGGTCTCGTCGTCAACTCAACGTACGGAGAAGTTTGCGTCTCACTCCCTCAAGTCCGGTTCTCACAGCAATCACCCCCATCCACCAAGGTTTCGGTTTTATCATGATCTATCTTATTTTTCTTCGAAAACACGCACAAGCATGGCTACCAAGATGCAGGAGGTTTTGCTGAAGGCTGCAGAGATAGCGCTGCCCTTTGTCAAGATGCCTCCGGATACATTGACCGAGGTGGACAATCGTGAGATGGATAAGGCTTTGGCCTCCATAAACCAATTGAAAGCTAAGCATTTACCGACCCCGACGATAGCAGTTGGGGATTTGAGTATGCAGGAAGTTCAAAGACTCTTTGGTATTAGTCCCGATGCCAGCGGTACATTCAAGTGGGATAAGACCGCGTTTGAAGGCTTTGCTGTGTATACGGATAAGGGTAAAAGTGAAATGGAATATGTTGGTAAGTTACTCTATTGTCCTAATTTCTATTTCTCTACTCTAATATTGAGAGCTAGGGTGGACCCTCAATGCATATGAGAAGACCTATGAGCGCGCCCCTTGGAACGAGCCCCTCGCGAGCACACGACTCGACACGCTTCTATTACCGACAACATATATCCTGGGCGCTTACGAAAATCCTGGGACAGCCGGAGTAAACCTGCAGTTTGAGACGTCACTCACATGGGCAGGCAAAGAAAGAAGCTCCAAGGCCAAGCAGATTACATGCTGTTCTACGACCGCCCATCCAAGAATGCCAGTAGTCTTCTCATCGTCGAAGCTAAGAGACACGCAGAATTCGGCCGCGGCCCAGCTGGATTACTATCTGACATGGGTAAGTTGTACAATGTCCAAGCTCTTTAAATCCTATCCACTGCTGACTGATAAGTAGCGATGGTGGTCAAGGCTCGACATTCTGCTGGAGACGGAGAGCGTGCGGTTGTTTTTGGCCTTCTATCCGACGGATATACCTTCCATTTCTACGGAGGCAATGATAGCTGACTTCATAATAGTACACCGTACATACGGTGCATTGGCTAATGGGGCTTACTAGTCAATGTATTATCAAGGGCCTACTCTCCTTTATAATCCTGGAAGCGTTAAACATGGCCGCAGTGTCAAGAACGAAGACCCGCCACCCCTCCGAACTGTCATTGTCCCCAGTAGGGTCGATGGAACTTGATTAGTTGTTTCTTTTCTATTCTTTCCTTTCCGCGTTTTCTTTCCGTCTTACAACGTTTCTTTGTTCCTTTGCTTTGAGTTCTACTTTCTTTTGTTTTACATTGCAAACAGAGAGAGGAAATTCGAAAGAGAGGTGCTGTGGCTCTACATCAGCATTCGATTTTTGGCCCCGTCCATGGTCTTAAAGATCCGTCGTCTATCGAGCAGGTTGCGGCCCTCGGGATCTAGATTGTGGATGTGGTCTCCGTGGCTTCAGAACACCAGGCAGATTGTGAAGGCAGACGGATGGGCCCCTGAGATTGACTAGATGGGGCAGCGGTGGAGTGGAATTAAAGCCGAGCTGAGAAATATCTTTCTCGTTGAGTTTCTGAGTCTCACCATATTTCGTTCCTTTCTCGGCACCAAAGTAAGGATCAGTCAGAAAACTGATGCCGTCAATGTGTAAAATGCCGGTCGCCATCGTGGGGTGGGTGATGGTGAAAGTAGAGGTTGATCCAGAACCGATGGTCAAGGTTTATGACTACGATTTTGGGGCAAGGGCAGATAGAGTGAGATGGTGAAAGAATGTGGATGTAGGTTGAAGAGTTGCTTTCCAAAAGGTACTTATACTCGATCTCAACCATGTCGGAAACGACTGTACGCAGGTGGGATACGCCGGCATGCTTCACTCTGTAATACTGACAGCTCGGAACATCCCACCTACAAAATCCTCACTTCATTGGGACCGTCTTAGAGGATTGCCCGCCGGCATCCCTCCTATCCTATTACTAAGACAAGCCATAGATGCCTTTGTGTGCTGTTCGGCGATCGTGGTTTGTAATATAAATAGTAGGTTCTCATTCACAGTCTAATAGTAAGTTATATCGATTGTCCATTCATTAAAGTGTTTTATAACGGCTAAGTTAATTGACTACTAAAATATTCCATTTCCCTTCAACATGACGTAGGTTTTCTCTATCCTTACTCCACGATTTTCGATCTAATGGGTATTTAGAGACTGTCATCCGACTGGCGATGAGGCATACTTTAATCTCGGTCGACACCGTCGCCCGGTCACTACGTCGTCACAACGCGCCCAACGGTGGTGCGACCGTGGCCTAGTCTGGACGTATTCTTTCAACGTCGGAGAAGCAGAGCGATGTTTCGCACGGGCCGTCCAATATGATCCTGACTGTGCAATGGCCCTGTGGGGGATCGCCTATTCCGCGGGCCCAAACTACAACAAGGCGTGGAGATATTTCGACCCAAAGGACCTTCGAGACTCCATCGACAGGGCAAAGAACGCTATCGCACGTGCCACTCAGCTGGTTGAGCAAATCACCCCAGTGGAACAAGCACTGGTCAAGGCCATTGCTGCACGCTTTCCACCCACGGAAAGCATCCCGGACGACCTGAGTCCACTCAATCGCGCATACGCAGATGCCATGCGGCCTGTGTATCAAGAATTTGGCAGCGACCCGGACATCGCCGCCTTGTTTGCTGATGCATTGATGTGCATGACACCGCGCGGTCTGTGGGATTTGGATACCGGAAAACCGACCGGCCCTCATACGGTCGAAGCCCAGCAGGTCATCGAGACTGGCTTATCATCCGGCGGGCGTGACCACCCGGCGCTCTGCCACTTGCATATCCACGTTATGGAGATGTCTCCAAACCCGGAACTCGCACTGCCGGCGGCAGATCGACTACGACACCTGGTGCCTGATGGATCGCACATGCTGCACATGCCGACTCACATCGATGCGGCGGTCGGAGACTACCGTCGCGCAATTGACTCGAATCATGAGGCCATGGTTGCAGACGATGAGTACTTTGCTCAAGAAAGTGGCACGATCTCGTACATGGGTTATCGTGTGCACTACATTTGTGCGAAGCTCTACGCGGCTATGATGTGCGGCCGCTTTGTAGACGCGATGTCGGCAGCGGAGAAGTTGGAACAAATTATAGATGACAAACTCCTTTCCATCACGAGTCCTCCTGTCGCTGATGCTATCGAAAGCTTCTTGGGCAGCAAGGCCCACGTGTTGGTGCGCTTTGGTCGGTGGGAGGAGATCCTTCGTCTTGAGCTTCCTGTCGATCGCAAATTAAGATGCGCAACTACTGCGACTATACTGTACGCCCAAGGACTTGCCTATAGTGCGCTGGGACGAATCCAAGAGGCGGAGGCCATCCAGCAAGACTTTGAGGCCGCCCGCGCAGCTGTCCCTTCGACTCGTTTCAACAGTATACCATGCAAGCAGGTGGACGTTTTGAAGGTCTCGTCGGCTATGTTACATGGCGAGCTGGAGTACCGTAGAGGAAATTACGAGGTTGCTTTCGCCTCTCTGCGAAAAGCAATCCAACTGGAGGACGCATTGCCTTACTCCGATCCTCCTCCTTGGATGCAACCTGTTCGTCATGCCCTGGGCGGTCTGCTTCTTGAACAGAACCGGGTGGAGGAAGCTGAAGTGTTATTCAAGGAGGATCTTGGATTTGCGAAGGACTTTCCCCGACGCAGAGCAAAACTGAACAACGTATGGGGATTGCACGGGCTGCATGAGTGTCTTACACGCCTTGGTAAGTCTGATGAGCTGCTTTTTATCCAGCCCGCACATGATATCGCGGTGGCTACCGCTGATGTTCCGGTCACTGCTTCATGCTACTGTCGTTTATCGGTTGTGGGGAAGTCTGACTGTTGTTCAGAGCAATCCAAATGCTGCTCATAGATCTATTTTGCATCTTACAAAACTTTCGTCAGAACATCCTTGATTGATAGCGCATGACTGGTGCATTATATAGCACTGTATATTGTATAGAAATAGGGAAATTGAATTTCGAGATTGGTCACCACACTGGACAAGCATTTAATATGGTTTATATATTTGTCATAGAAGGTTTCCTCCAACGAGGACGATGTCTCGCAGTTCTCACCTTCAACGATATAATGACTGCACCCATATGCGGAGACAGTTTTGGACGAGGGTGCCTGCTAGGATAGATAACACACAGAAGATTTTTCAATTTAATCTATGAGGAGTTCCATTTCCTGTAGTTATTTTACACAGAGAAAATAGGCCGAGAATGTAATGAACTGTGTTTTACCATCCATACCAGAACCAAGAAATCAGTAACACATACAATTAGGGTTTCTAACAGTTCTTTTGACAGCTAACTGCTAGGAGTAGGACTACTTCACATCATGGATGGTGTCTCTTTGTTGGTCCAATTGGAACTGGACCCTCCCACCCTGCAGCGGCCTATATTGCGTGCTTCACTGTGATTCACAGCTACAAACATTCCGTATTATGACGCACTCATTGCAAAAACACAATTCCGCGGTCTTTATAATATCGCCTTCCTCTGGCCTCACTGGCTTTGAGGAAAGAGATATTGATAGCTTGAGTATATGCTAGGTGAATGTAAAAGGCCAAATAAGCGAATTCCCTTCGGAGAATCCACCATATGACGGGTTGTTGGCCCTCCGTCGTATGGCCATGCCGGTCCCAAAGTATCCCAACCTGGGCCTCAAGAGTACCACTAGGCTTAACAATCTCTTGGGGCTCTCTGGCAGCATCTTTAACTGTCTACTTCCAGAGCGTTTGGGCATACCCAGCCAGGTCTTCCAGGGACCACGGTGAAGAGACAATATCAGACATCGCAGGTTTTTCATCGCGCTTGAGGGAGTTACCAGTCCGGTGTTCAGAAGAGGGCTGCGCTTATAACCGTCACTTTGATTGATATTGTGGCTATCCCCTAATCTCTATGCCTGGCGAGTCTTCAGATTGGAGTGGGTAGGTGTATCTGATATATGGGCTAAGCGAGACACCCTGAAGAAGCAGCGGAACGATATTCAGGCCAGTGCCATAGTATTCTGCCTTACCAAAGTCTCCTTCAAGAATTTCTGGTGCAAAAACGGGCAAGGGGATGGATAAAAGCTGGGAACTAAGGGAAAGTGAGAGTAAGGTTTAAAGTTATGTGGCGGGGGTGAAACCTTGATTCTGGTTTTATAGAGGAGCCTGTGGTGGCTAGGGAACAAGGCCACGGATGGAAGACAGTGAATCAATCCCATAAATGGAAGACAAAAGATCAAGCCGATGTATACAAGACAGTGAATCAGGCACCACCACCTTTGGCAACTATTGTTCCAGCCCTTGCAACAACCAAATCTGTCTTATGTATAACTATTTAATTACTATAATCCTGAAGAATTACGCAGTTCATCTAGAGGTGAGGATGAGGCGTAAAAAAGGAGGCACGTGTGTAATGTGTCTACGGCTCTCTACCCTTTATGAGCTATACTAAAGGCAGTTGAATTCTAAATTTCGCTATTCTTCCAAAGAGGGGCCTTAGTAACTTAAAGAATTTCTTGTTTAGTATTGACACCAAGGTGCAGGCTTGGAGCTGGAAAGAGCAACCTTCTTACACTCATAACTGTGTCTCTTTAAGAACTTTATCGACCTAGCATCATCAATAAAAATGCCATTCTATTACTTCCGAAACTCTCAACAATAAGTAACACCTTTACACCTGTGGAGAGACGTGCACAATGACTTTTCCTCCACTAGAGCCCTTCTTCACATACTTCAAGGCCTCAATTGCTTGCTCAAACTCATACGTCGACTCGATAATCGTTGTTATAGTCCCATCAGCCAGCCACTTGGCTAGCTGCTCGTAGTCCTCGTGTACATTCTTGGTAAAGTACGGTACGAACTTTCGCGGCGTGCCGCCCAAGAAGGTCGGCCATAACAGGCCCTCGACCATATTCTTAGCTGTGTGCAGTGATACGGAACCTCCGACACAAATATAGTGACCGTGAGGCTTCAGAAACTTGGGCGTCGTAGAGAAAAAGCTTTTTGGCGAGTTATCTACGTTATCCACTACCAGATCGTAGACTTGGCCCTCAGCTTCAAGTTTAGTCACAATGTTGTCGACGCGGTAGTCGATCACGGCGTCCGCGCCCAGCTTCTTGACGAGGTCGATCTTGGCGGTTGAGCAGGATGTCGTTACGTGGCATCCGAGGGCCTTTGCAATTTGGATGCCGAAGGTCCCTGTTCCTCCGGAGCCGCCGTTGATAAAGATGCGATCGCCGGCTTTGATATAGGGCTTGATACTTTGGTACGCTGTCATCCCCGCGGTGGGCACCCCAGCAGCGTGATCGAGGTCCACTCCCTTGGGTAGCACGGCATACCCATCTCGTGGCAGCACCACATACTCCGACAGCGAGCCGTGCGCTTGAAAAGGTTCGAGACGGCCGAAGATGTTGTCGCCGACCGTAACGTCTGTTGATCCCTCAGCCACGGCCACGACAGTGCCGCTGAGGTCCATGCCCGCCACCTTGGGAAACTTGCCGACGGCGCGGGAGAAGAATCCCCCCTCCATGCCTTTGTAATCTGCCGGGTTCAGACCGGCACTGACGACGCGGACGAGGATCTCGCCTTTCTGGAGGACTGCATTAGGGCGTGGGACGTTGTACACGAGTTTGAGATTCTGCTCGATAGGACCAGGAGCGGCCTGCTGCCACGCCTTCATATTTTCTGTCATCGTGATTTAATTTGTTGACGGTGCTGCTAAGATGCAATATAAGTGAGCTATGAAGTAGACGACTGAAGTAGACCTCGAGCTTTGGTTAGTGACAGAATTCAAGGGCAAGGCTGTCCTTATCGTGACTGCTACGAGAAAGGAAATGCATGGGGGGTTCTGAAATATCAATCACCCCGAAATTCTGGTAGAGAGACAGAAGGTGGGACAATAGATGTTCAATGTTTATAACTCATAACGTCATTACCCCAACCCGGCATTCGGATAGCCTTTTCCGGCAGGCGGCCTTGACTTCTCCGTTCGGATCTACGGACCAACGGACATCCGAGCCCTAATCCACTAGACTCTAGTACCTTATGGACCTGTTCGCTAATTTCTTCTGTCCTATGCTATCAATGAAATGGGCACTGGCCCTTTCGCGATACCTTTAACTCCTCGATAGTTGTGGCTAAGGCTTCTCGGCCCTTGCCTTCGAAATACTTTGGTCCAACATCGGGAATATAGTAGCCTTGGGGGTAGTACTTCTCATCACCAGGGAGAGGGCCACCTCGCAGCCAAGTCAACCAAGCAATCGCCCCCCACCGATTCCATACAGTTGGCTTGACATAATACGGTGCGGCGCCCCATTGAGTATTAAAAATGCGACCATTCGTATCTGTGTGCTCGGTGTAGTTGGTACAACGGAGGAAATAGGGGCGAGGGAGCAGGAGATGACGGATGGTGAATTGGCGGACAGAGAGTAAAAAGTCGAAGATTCTAGTATATGCAGCTGATGGGGGCTCATATCTAGACGTAAGGTGTAAGTAGGTACTTCGACTACTGAAGTATGGAAAGCGACGTCTGATCAGGGATTCTATACTCACAACATAGCTTTCCGTAACCTAACATCCATAAGAAACGAAGTTAATTTAACCGCAACAGAGTGAGCGAACTGAGGAAGCGTGTATAATATTATAGCAGTCGCCTGGTCCGCAACTTCGCGATTCTTGATATGTGGTCGCATATGCTGAATCTCATAGTTACTACTCCAGTTGGAGAGTTCTTCGAGCCAATGGAGCCCATCTCTCCACTTATCCTTTGACGGAAGAGCGCCGTAACTAATACCTAAGCCATCACCCAGACTTTTCCAGAATGTACCTATGGCACACTTTTCGAGGTCACTCAATCTTCGCCACTCATACTTCTCGATAAATCTTATGGGCTCAATGGCAAATAGACCAAGTGTGTATAGCATATCACTTTCTAAGATTTTCCCTTTCGCACGGTAGCCACTGTGAATCCAGCGCGTGCGTGCGATTGCTTCATAAGCGCGCCTTGAAGAAGGGGGGTTGCCCATAAACTCTTGAAGCAGGGCACCCGTGTCGGCGTAGCGTTTTAGGGCATTTTCCGGGTTCGAGGATTGCCTGGTGGAAGCGAGTAGCTTCGAAATTGTAGGTATACCGTAGGTCTTCACAGGATAAATCGTGTTAGGCACCCATCAGCAAACATAGTCCAAAAAAACGAATTGAAAAGTGTTTCTGTACAAATACAGACCTTAAAAAGTGCGAACTGAAGAGCCTGGAAAAACATAAAAGGGAACTCCAGCTCAAACAGAATCTTTTGGATTTCCCATGCCTCTGTATCGGTCATTCGAGCTAGTGATTCCCGGCCAGAATAATTATACTTTTTGTGTAGCCATCGTAAGCGACGAAACCGAAGAAACGAAACCAGTACTAGATATGCCGTCAAAGGCACAAGGGAATAGGATATAATCTGGAAAAGGGAAACTTCCTCGAAGGCAACACTGGCATTGATGGTCGCCGCGATTCGTCTGAATGCCGCTATGACATACTGGGCGCATTTGTCCATCGCCAGAAGGGTACTAGGATTCGAGGCAAGAATGAGTCAGGATGAATTAGAGTGATGGATAGGTACCTACTATCCAACGAGGAAATCTGTAATATAAGGCAAGAGATATTGTATTGCTAATGATATTTTCAGGCGGACAGCCTCAGCTCTCTGGGCATGTATCTGCTACCAAAAAACCGCCACATGGTCCGCCTGACAGACACCATGTTACCTTTCGTGGATCAATGGGGCTCTAGCTAGGATCCTTGATAAACCCCTTACGTCAATCATTTCTTGCTCTAGGAAGTACTGTGATACCTCGTGAGTCAAGACGGGGCACTATAGCTAAGATAATTTCCTATATAAATTCTTGAAACCTTAAAAATATAAGAATCTTGTCTGTAAGCCTGGGAGCCCATACAAATTCGCCTGAAGTTGGATCTTAAAAGGTTCAATGGTATAGTTTTCATGCGTATGTAGATCAAGGCATAGGGATCGACAACTTTCGAACTCAGGAGCTCATAACCCAAGGCGTTGAGGGCTTTCAGCCAATGAGAAAACAAGCTCACTAATTGAGAAACCTTGCAAGCTCCGAAGGAGTTTGGATTATAAATTAAGTCGCCTGGGCCGCTTTCGGCTGAATTTCTGAGGTATCACAGTACTCCATCTATGCGCCCTACTGCGCTAATCACCGAAACCCTATCCAGAATAATAATGCGACACATGGTTGCATGAACATAAACCAATGAATCATGAAGGCCTTGGCATTCTAGAATAGAACATATTTTTGGCTGTGTAATAACCATGGTCTGGGTCCTCTGCAGAAAGGTCAGGTCGCCACCACAGACAATAGTTACATAGAAAAATATGGTTTAGACCGACATGATCAACGTAAATATCAATTGACATGTGTATATGTTCACCGCTCCTTTCCCAAGATACCGCATTTAGTAGGTTCATAGCCAGTTCTGTTCTCCTTATATATAATCACGTTTGAGCTTGCCCTGTATTTGCATAGAACTTGGCTCCTTGTACATAATTAAAACTTCACTCTGAGCTGCTTCTCGTCCGTGGACCAAAAACACACACACAAAAAAAAAAAAAAAAAAAGTATACTATCAACAAATATGGACTTGAACAACTCTCTCGGTGATGCGAAAAATGTAAGCCCTTTTCATCCCGCAAGACCATATACTCTGCACTTGGAGTGTCTAATAACGAATAAAACCATCTCAGGCAGGGCTCTCGACCCCTTTTGAGGTTCTTTCACGAATCTTCGACTTTCCGGACAAAGTCCAACTTTCCTGGTGGTATACCATCGGTCCTACTTTTGCGAAAATGATGGTCGATTCAGACTACAGCGTGCACCATCAGTACGAGTACTTGTGCTTCATCTACAGGTACCTCCTTCCTGTACTAAAGTCACTGCATGCCCCGACCGGTAAGACTGCGCTGGAAAACACGCTTGTTAGCAGCACACCGTACGAGCATAGCATGAATTACCAGGCATCTAAATCGACTACGCGCCTCTACCTCGAGCCCACCAGTCACTTGGACGGGACGATCCGGGATCCATGCAACAGACTTGCCGTCCAAGCGTTCCTGAATAGGATCCAGACAGCTCTACCTAACAGTGGGATCGATACGACCCTGTTCTACTTCTTTGCAGACAAGTTGGTTTTGCCGAGGGTAGACGAAGCCCGAATTCGAAAGACAGACATAGTGGATAAGCTACCAAACCAGATGCAATGCTCCACTGCGTTCGAGCTCAAGGACGGGAGGATTGGGATGAAAACGTTTATGTACCCGATGATGAAGGCCCTTGCCACGGGTAAATCCGTCACTAGGGTTCTTTTTGATGCTCTCCAGACACTCCCGGCTTTGGAGGGGGGTGCGGCATATATGCCTGCAATTTCGGCTATCGAAGAGTACGTGTATCCACTCACGGACAAATGTCCGTCACCGACGATGTCGACCTTCTTCGTGGGCTTTGATATGGTTGCTCTCGAGCTTGCCCGAATCAAGGTATACATCTCCGAGGCAGAGGTCAGCTGGGCGAAACTGGCGGACCTTTGGACCCTTGGCGGCCAGCTGATAGACCCTGACATTGCAGCCGGACTGGAGTTGCTACACCAGGTCTGGTTGCTACTCAAAATCCCAGAGGGAATTCGCAGACTATCAGACGCTCCACCGGATCTTAACGACACAGGAACCTTGAACCAATTGCTTATGAGCTACGAGGCAAAGCGTGGTTGCCCGGAGCCTACCCCAAAGGCATATATCTCTCTCCGAGGCTTTGATGAAAACATCAAATGTGAGAGGATGATCTCCATATTCAACCATTTCGGATGGACGAAACATGCGGCTTCGTACCGTGATAATATACAGTCATACTTGTACGTGAAGTTTCCGAATCTATATGATACCTGGTACCTAACCATGATACAGCCCGTCCTTCGATTTCCAAAAGACCACTACCATACAATCTTGGCTTTCGTTCTCGTACAGCAAAAAGACGGGTCCCTACATGACAATGTATTTTAATGAGTTAGATACTTCTCACACTTTTCATGCATTAGGATGATAGGCGCTGGAGTTGAGGGGTATTATAGAAGGAACTACATAGGAAACAATGAAACAGAATTTCGGGGAATTAGATGAAGGCGACATTAGTTACTCCCCCTGTTGATTGCGGCAGGATGATGTGCAGGTAGTAAGGGATTGACGCCAGCTGGTGGCAAAGTGTCAGTGTAGCGTCTTCATGCATGCAGAGGGGCGACGCATCGTGATGCTTGGAAGGAAGGAAGGCATTATGCATAGCATTTCCGCACCTGCCTGTTTACTATAGTCATTCGTACTAACTCCTGTGTACTATTGGTTTCTACGAAAACGCTAGCATACAATAGTCAACGTGCTATGTGATTCGGCTGACACGTCCAATTTTGCGTCTGTGGTCAGGGATTCAAGATTAACTTCTACTAGAAGTTAATGACACGTATGGAGCACAAGCGAAGAATATGATATGTTGTTTCCAAGCCAGCCACAACTACAGATCTACACCAACCACTCCCTGATGATCGCTATCCTCTTTTGCAGTCCCCGTCTCGCTTCTCCAGTCCAACCTAACCCCCTTTTCTTCTGCCCGCCACTCTTGGAGCCATTTGACGACGTCTTCTGGTCTGCTCTGAACACCGACAGCATGCCAGTGTTCTGGCGACAAGAAACCTTTGCCCACAACAACTTTTTCAACCCAGTTCACCAGACCGTCCCAGTAGCCTCCGACGTTTAGGAGACATACCCCTCGAGAATGGATACCAAGCTGTTGCCATGTTGCTATTTCCATCAACTCCTCGATTGTACCGAGCCCGCCGCTCAAAGCCACGAAACCACTTCCTGGTCCGCCACATTGAACACGCCGTGCCATAAGCATTTTACGTGTATGCATGTCTGGCACAACCTCAAAGCGTCCATACGTCGTGTTATCCCGTTCCTTGCCCGTTTTTCCACGTTCGTATGCCACCAGCGCGGCTGGGATATAACCCTGTACCGCATCTGGCCCTGATAATTTCACCACCTCGCGTGCAATCGCGCCCATTATACCAGTCGTTCCACCCCCATAGACGAGGTGAAATCCATGCTGGTGAAGGACCTTGGCAAAAGCCCTAGCAGCGTCTAGATATGCTGAATCGTTCCCGGGTGATGACCCACAGCTAGAACTATCAGTATCTGCTGCCTGTTGTGCGCGAATTGGTACCATACGTACTATACGCAAACAACGGGAGGGTTAACCTTCCCCGCTGACGGAGATTCTTGTGAGGGAAGAGAAATAGGCGACATTGGGCTATTAAATCACACTCTCACGTAAACGAGGACGAGGCAAGACGCTAGGAAATTGAAAGTACTGGAGAAGCATACCGTGTAGATAGTGGAGAACGCCCTTTTGTATATCATTTCGAAGGCTTGCTCAGGCCGAAACGGCCTCCCGAACTACTCCGTACATAGGGCAGCTGAGGCAAGTGGCGACATGAGGCAAGGGGTGTGTACTAGTACAGGGAATATACTTTACATGTCTATCATTTGTTCTATTTTTTGTATATTTTACGCAGTGTTTTAATTTAACATGTAGCAATAATCCGCCCCCGCTCTAGTCACTTCAAAGACTACACCTAAGTTCACATCTTTGTTGTTATCATTCGCTTTCTTCCAGTTCTCTATTAGGCTATTATAACACTCTGAAGATCCCAGATGTTTCCTCCAGTTACCAGCATCATAGCCCTCGTTGGGCCTACCGCTGTTGGGAAGACAAAGCTGGGCGTGCAGCTTGCAAAATCGCTTCAAAGCGAGGTTATTTCGATTGACAGCCTCCAGTGCTACAAGGATGGCAGCATCATCAGCGCCAAAGTGAAGCCTGAAGAGGCAGATGGAATAGTTCACCACCTCGTTGACTATGTCGATGCACAAGACGAGCCCCACACATTTATCAACGATGCGATTGATTGTATCCGGGACATCCACAGTCGAGGAAGAGTTCCTATCCTTGTTGGAGGATCAACTTCTTTGACAATCCCCATTTTGCAAGCCGCGGTTGAGGACGGGAAAACCCCGTTCATCATTATTCTCGGGGATACTGCATCGAGTCTTGAAACTCGTATCCGAAAACGCGTGGATGAAATGGTGCAAGAAGGGTTATTGCGCGAATTATTCGGCCTCTATAAGCTCGAAAAAGCTCTACTCGAAGGACCAGACTTCTCGCGTGGAATATGGAAGGTGATAGGCTATCGAGAGTTCTATCCATGCTTCACTATGCCGAGAATGGACCGTGAACAGTTTTCAGAGCTGATGGCACAATGTTTGGCCAGGCTGAAAACGGAGACCGTTCTCTACGCCAACAAGCAAGTGGACTGGGCATGTGACACACTCGTTCCTTTCTTGCAGACGATGAAGATACCGTATGTGAGGTTACAAGTGGACGGACAAACTACTGGGGAGAATGTGATGGCGAAAGCGACTCGGTCCTATGCGTCCGCTCTCCAGGACAATGTCGAGTTGTTATGATACAAATCTTTCTTATCAAACTAAGCCTTTCGATTTGGTTCATCTAACTCTCCATTAATTTTATTATTATTTTTTCCTCATCTGCATAGTGGTCAAAATTCTTTCAATCCATGTCTAATATATCAGTAGAAATAGATCCTATAGCAGAAACCCAGCGTGTACGCGCTGCACCAAAGTGCACTGGCTATGGTATTCCAGGCCATAAAGTTCTCTAATGTCTGGATCGTCGGATCATTCAACTTCCGTATCGAAATGCAGAATCTTTAGTGTTTTAATAGCTTCAAAACAAGCCGTATGTGACGCGTTTCGATGTGGAAATCGCCAGGCTTGACCCCACTCGGCTGCTTGGATCGGATGTCTATTATATATGGCATGAGTCAAGGCTGAACGGGAAATTCTTCTGAATAATAAATATTTTCCAATATGCTGCAACCGCAGAATTTGCCCTGTCAACAATAAGGGCGCATGTTTGTGGTGGGTAATACTCCGTAAAATAATCATGTCCATATCCCGCATTCATGCAGGACTTTAGGGTTGTTTAGTGACAATCCGTGAGCCCAGGCCCAGCATAGGCGGAATTCTAGGCTGGCTGAAAGAAGTCCCAGCCTCGAACTTTAATTCATAAAGACAGCCCCTTACCTGGTTCTTGTTTAAGAACTCAGATACATGATGTTCTAGATCTCGTGGCCCCTGATTCTAATCGTGGCATGAACAGTAAGAATCCCGTTTTCATCTGTGTTGTTGGCGCTCTTCAGGTGTATCTTAGAGACGTGTAAATTCTATTCGATCGTTGACCCTCGGTTCAAGGAGTATAAGAAACTGTAAATGCGACTTTGGGTACTCTGTAGTGCATGTATAACACAATTGACCTTGAAAGGGCAGGTTGCTCGTGCTGTGCAAGGTCCCACTTCAAAACTTTGGCCCTCAATAGTGACTGATAGAAGGCGGGACCTGATATTCCTCAGATTGCCCAAACAAATGCACCGTCGGCAAATACAGTGGCCAAGGCCTGACGATCATCAAACTACCTGCACTCTTTTCTCGATCTTCAGAAATTTATCTCCTGTTTCCTATCGTGGCGCCAAGAAAATACCTGTCTCGACGGGCACCTATTTTCAATCGCACTTTTAGTTTGTCGCCTCTTCAAGTATGATCCTTACAATCTGGAGCGTTGATATGAGCCCGTCAGAAATATGCAGTCACGGTCAAAGTTGAAATTCTCGACTTAATGGATAATTTCGTGCTGATTAGATACGTCACTGGCGTATGTCCTAAGGAAAACTATGGATGACTGCGGAGCACAACTCGCAGCTAAAATATGGATACTACATATGACTGGTATAAAATGTGTCTCCAAAAGATGAACAAAACTCAACAGGGCAATTACAGCTATGTACATACATTGAGTGCATTCTCCACATATATCACATAATACTACTTATTCAGCTCTGGATGATGCACTCAATGTATATGGGTAGCTGAAACCGACCTGTTGAGGGTTGTGGATCTTCTGGGAAAGGTTCTTGGCATTAGAATGAAATACGGACCTGATATTGGGTTCCCATTTGACTTACTTGGAATACAGCCCAGCAGCGCGAGTGGTTTCTGGACCCTGGTGCTAGTTTTCTCTTGCAATGAAATCAGCCGTTTCTCCTTCGTAAGTTCGTCCACAATGATTGACTCAAATCTCTTGCTGCAGTCTCACCGGCCAGTTGCGATACTGAGGGTAGCTTTTGCTTTTTTTTTTATTGAACCCCGGGAGGGACGGCCATATAGGTGAGCACGAAGCCGCAGCATATCTTGCCATACAAATAACAGGGTAAAAGTCGAGCTACGCCTCTAGGACCCGTTTTCGCGTACCCAAGCCAGCTACTCATCCTCTTCGTCCAGGGCAAGCGGGCCACGCGTGGCGTATAGTACGCTTGCGGCCTCCTCCAGGTTCAAAGCGCATGTCCTTCCAGTTCTCAGGGAATGACTATGGAGAAAGAAGGACAGAATCTGGGCTTTAATCAGCCGCAGCACTAGAATCAGGAAAGAAATTAGTGAAAATACAACGCACAAGAGACTAAAAGTTTAAACTCTACTGCTACAGACTGCCACGCTTCGAAGTTACCACACTACACATCTACGCGGTGAAGGAGTAGGACAGATATAGGCCATAACTTCAAGTTCATGGATTGGCAGTCCTATTTCCAGTATAATAGTCGGAATCTACTTAGGATTTGATTCTGCATACTGATCTGATCTTAACAAATCAAGCGCCACGGAGGCCTCCATTTGGCTCGAGGGCAAAATTCTCATCAATCCCCGGATGACAGGGACAAGGCAAGCAAGCGATCGGCTGTGCTCCTTTCTATTGAACCTTCGTCTAATTCAAACTGCTCGCAATCTTCCAATTCAATTAGCAAACCTGACTGTATCGTGTCCATATGGTGGCTATTGACTCACTTTCTCTCGGTTCCAATGTATGCTTAGAGTTCAATCGCATGCATTCCCACATTGGCTGCCAGTCCTTTGGTAGCTCTTCCACAAAACCAATCATCTGTGCAACCAGGACATCATCGTCGCCTAGATATTGGAAGGGATATGCACCAAATATAAACGCATAAATCTCGATTGCCAACCTTAGCATCAAACTTGCTACAGACACGGAAGGGCTACTTACCATACAGCCTGCACGCCATAAGTCGACCCGGTGGTCAAAGCATTGGACAAAAGTCGTCTCGGGTACCCGCAATGGCCTTGGCTGAGCAAGTTCTCTGAGCTCATCTACTTGAATGAACGCCTCTCCAAAGTCAAGAATCCGAAGGTCTTCGTCATCTTCATCTATCCACTCATCCCATTCAGTGGCTTTTACTATATGTTTCGGTAGTGCTTTATCCAGAGGCTTGCCATCAAGACGAACCAGTTCTTCTGATTCTGGCATCCCAAGGACTTCGAAGAGCTCATCTTTGGTCGCATTCGAGAGGTTCCTACAGCTGAAAGCGACGTTTCCACCGCTTATATCTGTCACTGCGTAAGTACCATGGCGTAGGGACAAGAATGAGTTATCACAGGGTATGGAAAGCTAGATTAGTCTTTGTCTCACCTCCATGTCCCATGCCAGCATCATGAATGAATTTAATGGCTTCTAGAAGCTGTTCTGACATGCGAAGGATAGTGTCCGGCTCAAGGGTATCCCCAGAGCTGTAGCAGTCGCGAAGAACCCTGTCAACAGATGGACCAAGCAACTCAAATACAAGACACTGGTGGATTCCGTTAGGCCCCTGGTGAGTAAAAGAGTCGAGTAACGGAACAATATATTTTGAGGGTAGCCTTCCCTGCGAACGCTTCTTAAGTAGTTGTAGATTGTGAATTTCTCGGGATCCCTGGGAGATATCCGCTCTCAGAACTTTTAGCGAAACCCACTGGTTCTTCCTGTGCTACGATAGTAAAAGCTATATAGGCGATTATGCGCAGTTAACTTTCTGTCATTTGCAAGCCACACGGTGGAAAATCCCCCCCAACCTAATTTATCGTGTATTTCGTAGCGATCGTTCTTGGTGTGGCCAAGGCCGACTGGATGGTACCCACCAAGCCGATACCTCGATAACTGCTCCTGTGTGTAGAGGAGATTACTTTGCCGGTACACAGATAAGTCTTCCATCGCCACGAGTAGAGGGGGCAATGATACAAAGAAGCGAACGTGGTTGAATCCAGGGTTTACCAGATTGGACTGCAGTTCTAGTGATTGACGTTGATACCAAAATTAAGCGCCCGCCAAGACGTCTAGACGTGCTTAT